TAGATCTCGAGAAATTTGTGAAGAGGGGTTTGAAAGTTTAGAGTTTTAGAGGGTAAACGACTAATCAAGTAGGCAAATGTAAGGATAGCATCCCCCAAAAAATTATTCGGGACATTACCGCCAATCATAAGAGCACGAGCAACCTCAAGCAAACATCCATTTTTTCTTTCAGAGACACCATTTTGTTGGGGAGAATAGGCACAAGATATCTTATGGTCTATGCCATGTTTTTCTAAATAGGTTTGAAAATTAGAGTTCAAATATTCTCTTCTGTTATCACTTTGAAGAATTTTTATTGATGTTTGAAACTGATTTTGAATAAAAGCATGAAAATTTTTGAAGATTGTGAAAACTTCAAATTTTTCTTTCATAAGAAAAACCCATGATACCTGGATATGATCACCGATAAAAGTTACAAACCATCTGGACTTAGAATTGGTTTCAAATTTTGATGGACCCCACACATCACTATGGATTAGGGAAAAAGGGTGAGTAGGATTATACTCAGTTGAAGAAAAGGAGGTTCAAACTTGTTTTGCAAAGTTGCAAGTATCACAATGGAAGTCAGAAATAACTTTATTATTAATATCAGGAAACAGAAATTTCATATATTGAGGACTCGGATGGCCTAACCTAGAGTGCCACAAAACAAAATCTACACTAGTCATAGCAGAAAAAACAGCACAAGAATTATTTGATGAAGATCCATGGATATAGTAAAACCCACTCCACTCCTTAGCATTGCCAATCATCTTCCCCAAGGCCAAATCCTGAAAACCACAGCCCTTGTTATCAAATATAACCATGGAATTCATTTGACTCACAATACGACTCACAGATAACAAACTGTACTTGATAGTCGAAACAAACAAAACATTCTAATATGTTCAGAGATAACAACAGTTCCAGAACCCATGACTTTGGCATACTCACCATTAGCTACCACAACAAATTCATGCTCAGAATTTTCAGAAAAATCAGAGAATAATTCCCTGAATCCTGTTTGTGGTCTGTCGCACCAGAATCCACTACCCAAATATTTTTAGACATGACTGTCCCATTTAGAGCTTTGGTAAGAGCAGTACCTGATTGAGCCAAGGTCACAGAAGAGGTTTTTGCCTCACATACATTACCAGCAGCAGAAGAAGCATGTCTTTCTAATACTTTTCGAAGAACTGACAGCTCCTCGACACTCAATGATCCACTCTGTGAATCTGCAGCAGTCACTATAAACCCCTTCCGTTCACTTTTGGGCTTATGTTTAAAGTTTGAGGGCTTGCCATGTAACTTCCAACACTCATCCTTGATATGACCACCTTCATTGCATTGATCACACCACTTTCCTGATTTCTTTCCCTTCATTTCTCCTCGGGAAGCAAGAGTAGAAGCATCTTTTGGAAGAGAGATTGGGATGGTGGGACTTTGAGTCAATACTTTTCCACTTTCCTCACATCTTATCATATTAAATGCTTCCTCCAACATGGGAAGAGGTTTCATGCTCATGATTCTGCCTCTAACATCTTCATACGAATCATTAAGGCCCAACAGAAAACCATAGCATCTATCTCTATCAACTAATTTTTTATAATAAAGTCCATCCCTGTGGCATGACCACTCATAGTCATGGATTGCATAGAGATCAACTTGTTGCCAAAATTTCATTAGGGAAGTATAATATGAGTTACAGATTTTTCATTCTAATAAAGGCTTCTAAGGGAACGTTTTACCTGAAAAATGGCAGCTATATTTTCACGAACAGCATAAGTATTCCTGGCTGAATCCCAAATCTCCTTGGCAGTGGTTGCAAGTAGGTAATTTTCACTTACCTCTACTATCATAAAATTCATGAGCCAAGCCATCACCATGTTGTTTTCAGCAACCCAGATTTCATACCAGATATCATCAAGTAAAGGAGGAGGAGGAACCTCCATGAGTTACTTCTCCTTATTTCTCCCCCGTACAACCATTAAAGCATTCCAAGACCACTGAAGGTAATTATTTCCATTCAACCAGTGCGTGATCATGATCTGTGTAAAGCTCTCGGACGCTGAGGTAATCATGCTAGTCGACCCTCTTTCTCCACTCGACCCAGTCGCACCAGTCACGCTCTTCGACCCATCATCACAAGTCGAGCTTTTCTGGCTTCCATCACCAGTTTGATACGCTCATGGTGGTCGATTCATGAGAGCTTCAACAACGACATCAAACCAGAGGAAGAAGAAGAGAAGGAGGATGACACGAGAGCCGAGAGGATCAAGAACGCTAAGCTAATACCATGAAACTTTATTTGGACTAAATAATGCTAGTATTTTATTGATAGGAACCGATACATATATAAATAGGGGCAAGAGAGAGTGAATCTAATTAAATCCCTAAACACTCTTCTAAAATCTCTAATAATATAAATCTAATTAAAGACACTAAAACAGAACATTACAAGATGAGAAGAGAAAAAAAGGAAAATTAGATCTGAGATATTATTGGGCCTAGGCCCAATAATGAGTTATATGTCCAACACCCTCCTCTTGGAATAATCACATCTTCATGTGAAGCTACTACCAAGGTCCACCTAAAACGTTGAATCAATTGCTTCTTGCCTTTTATGCCTTGTCGTGTACGTAAGAATATTTGAGGCTTATAGACTGCCACTACTTCATGATGAACAATCACAAACTCCATCTCAAAAGACTCTAGTTGATTTTGATCAACTTTGATCAAATGCAGCTACAATTTCTTTCATTGAGGGCATTCATGATTACACAAATACTTGTCATGACAATAAAAACATGAGTTATTAGTCCTGTGTTCTTCAATTTCCTCAAGAGATAAAATCTTAAAAAATTTAGAAGTTGCCGCCATCATACTAGCTACTTGTGGCTTGTCCTATTTCATAGAACTACTAAAAGCAACCATAAAGGGTACCAACGGAGATGATCGTGCCTTAGAAGTAGTGAAACTAGAATTGGCGAAGCTGCAAAAATTTTGAGGTGAAGTTACAAGGCTTGGACACGTCCCCTAATTCTGGCTCTTAAGAGTTATTATCCATAGAACAATTAAACTCCTCTTCCCTTGGTGCCTTCATCATATCCAAGAGAGTCCGAGGCTCCAAAGCACAAACCTGATCCATTATCTCAATCTTCAATCCACCAATATAACTACTTATTAAATTTTCTTCAAGAAGATTCAATTTGCAAATAATATCATCAAATTCATCTCAATAGTCTACAACTAAGCAATACTATCTCACATGCATCAAATCTTTCATGGAATCTTCATGTATAGGCATTTGTAACCCTTACCGTCCATATGCATGCTAGTTAACGAGACCTATAAATCATCTACAATATCAAGTCCAAAATACATCTTGTATTGCAATAAACATCCAAAAACACCATCATTGTGGTGAAACCGAGGAAAATCCATCTTTGTGAACCTTGTGGGAACATGGTAATGAGACCCCAAATTTTTTTTTATCACCAGTACTTGCACTACCTCAATGCTTGGCACCACCACGTTCTGCAGACTCACGAGTGCACATAAAGTCTGACAACTATACACACACAAAGCTTCTTGCATCCCAGCCATGCCTTGATCAATGGCTGTCCATAATTCAATGACTTCTTAAACAACAGTGTATTGAACCAACATTCCAACATGCTCTTCCATATCTCTCCAAGAATGTGTGCCATTTGCCACTAATGAGGACCACTAGCTCTAATACCAGTGATATAGAAGGATAGAGAAAATCGAGAGGAGAGAGAACAAAAGAATCAACAACTAACTTCTCGTTAACATTTCTTCCCTTCAATGCTAACTCCTTATAGAAGTAAATGAGTTAGTTAGTAACAATATTTGGTTAATATAGTTTTTATTCAAGTACACTTACAACTCTCATATCATATTACAACTTCTGCTAGTGAGTTTGCCATACTATTAATTTTTGCCGCTGGATTGACGTGCTCTGATACCAAATAATAGAACACTCTACTCTAATAGCTTAAAACAGACCAAAAACCAGAAAATACATTACAAATGGAACTGAAAATACTAATGCTAAATATTTAAGCTGGATAACAAGGGAAATAATGATTCAAGCCAATCTCATCTCCCTCATACACCCATACACTAAAACTAAAATTAAATAACCGTTACAAAGCACATGGAACAACACAAAATACACCCCAAAGAACAGCAACACCAAACATAAGCCACTGGACTTTCAAAAGGCCAATACTCCCAAACACACTTCACACACCAAAAGATTGAACTCCCCTGTCTCAACTGAATTGGATAATTTTAAACCCAAAAAATTACAAAATCACTGTCCTTACCATTAGCTGCACCTAATCCCTACTCCTAGATCACTTCTTTTCCCTTGTGGCCAAGACCCATAGTGTAATCTTTTGACCCAGCCTTTTTTGTTTTGCCCCCCATCTATCATTTTCTTCTTAATTTGCACCTATATGCCTTACCAACTCAGCAGCTCTATCAAAATCCATGACCAAGGCCAGCACCATTTCTCAAAATCTACTCCGCAGAACCATGTAACATGGGAACTAATTTTCATCTCTTGAAGACGGGTTTGAACCTGGTTCCCACAAGTGCATTGCACAAAGGGAAACAAGTAGGCACATAGAATTCATGCTCTTAAAAGTTTAATATTAAATACGCACACACAACTTTGCACCCTTTCAGTGTGTTTATTTTATATTTATACACTTCAATAAAAGGCAATATGTCTAAGCATTCGGTAAACTAGATCTACTATAATTTCAGGTTTTAGTAAAGCATCATATCATTATCTTCTGGGTTGAGAAATATTTAAAATATATTATTATATGTAAGTACTATTTGAAAAATTACTTATATATATACACACACATTTAAGACATCATTGAGTTCAGCCATGGCTTAACCAATTCAATTAGTGAAGTTGTGACCCAACAGTTAGTCCACATGTCCAAACCACATTTGAAACCTAGCTCAGGTTAGGAGATTACTTGTAGTGGGATCAGCAATAGTCACTGAAGGGTCTGCCTGGTGTAGCTTTGGTTCTTCTAAGTTGGCCTTCCACAGTGCAATAACTGTCCGTGGCTGTGCATCCTGTGCATATAATAATATGCTTTTTACATCATAATATATGATAATACTAAGGCAAGAAGATAGAAAACTTAGTTTCATGTACAAACAGATATCAGTATATCAATTATAATTTAAATGTAGTTCACAAGATTCATCCAAATTTTAGATAAGTAAACTGAGAAAGATGTTGCAAGTTCTATAACTATTTAATAAACTTAATATCTGTAGAAATTGAGACATTTTATCAAGTCCACTGGCTGACAAAATAAACCTCAGAATCTGTGTCCAGAAGAATCATGTATTCATTCATTCTCAAATACCTGCATGCTAGAATATATGGCAAGCTCCAGCTTGTATGGTCCGGTAAGAATCCGAGAGCCAACTGGTAAAACAACCACCCAACTGCATAAAATGTGCAAGCAGTGAGAAACACCTGCCATCCATCAAGCAAAGAAGGGGGAAAAAAACAAAAGAAAAGAAAGCTTCAACAAAATATCACTTGATACTCACACTTTCTTAGATACTAGCTGCGGAGCTACTACTTCTAGAAATCCAGGTCCATGGAACTCCCGCAGCCAACCAGAGAACAAGCAAAGATGACTCTGCAAAAACAAGAAACATGAGAGGAATTTTGATAATTTATGTATCATGAAAAAGAAAGAAAAAAGACCTGATCCATTCAACTTAATATAGCAGGTACATTTCAACATTACAATAAGAAGTCCAAATATACCTCAATAGCACGAACAACATTGCCGTGGCCTTTGGCCCTGGCAACATCCAGAGCAGTTTGGCAATCATCATTCATGACCAATGCATTAGCTGACAAATTTAACAGCAGATGCCAAATCAATGTCCTGAGAATTGAAAATTATAAAAGTATATGCCATATTTTTGAAATAATTCAAATCAACAGGAAAAATCAAAACTTTGCAAACACAGTGGCATCTGATCCTACCTCCTTGCAAAAGAAGCAACTTAACAATTCTTTCAAGGCCTCTTTTAGTTGCATGATGCAATGGCATACCAGCATGTCGTCCTATCCAATAGCCAATCTTAAAAGTCAGAACTAGTCAACAAAGCCAAAGGAAGACATGCATTGATGCTAATTTAAAAGATTCATTCAAGGATGCGAGTTCGAAAAAAAAAAAAGTTTCCTAGGAGTTTGCTATGGTCTACAATGAAAACATAAAATATAAGAAGTAATTTCCAAAGCACTCCATACCGCAATCATGACAAGTTAAATTTGCCGTATTTTAATTAGAGAATCTAATGGCTGACATTTATAAACTATACCCTAGCTTTGTCATTCATTTTAATACTATTTGCTAATATAATGACGGCTATAGCAAACAATAATCTAAAATCTAAAATGACTTGAGAAAGAGAGACAAGAAGCTAAACTACGAAATCTGAAGGCTTTATAACCATCTTAGACCAAGATACTCGTGCTCCTAATCGGTAATTACTAACATTTCTTAACATTTCATATAGCATTAAAATTATTTGACTCCATTCGAAACAGACAGCGTAAAGGCCCAAGAAGCTAATGCTTGAAATCTGAGAAACCTTTAACAAGCCAAAAAGAAATAATACCCGGACGGTATGCATTGACATTGGCACCAAGTTCAATCAATGTTGCGGCGACATCATACAGCTCAGGGTTCATACAAGCAACAATCAAAGGCGTCTTTCCTTCTCTGTCCACCCACTGCAGTGAAATCAACAAATCATCACAATGAACAAGAAAAATCCTTCAACAGCTACCAGAAATGAAAATAAAATCATCTGTGAAATTCACCACTGTTTACTTTCTTTACCTCAAGTCCTGCTCCATCCCTATGAAGGCTTTGATCCTTCGATGTTCCCATAACTGACTTGCTGGTAAAGAAGCTCGCTCTTTGATTGCCCTTGCCCCATCAAATTTCCACGATATCAGTGGTAACGATTTCTTTTCTGGGTGAAACAAGGCAACGCTTTTGATTACAGATTTTGCATGAATTCTGGAGTAGAGTTCTGGTTTCAGCCTCTGAAGAAGTCACAGAAGAAATGGGACCAATCAGGGCAATAATTCCAGGAAAATGTCTAACTTTCCTGGAAAAAGGCGTTGATCGCAGAATAGCGATTTCCAGGAAAGACGAAATGAGAGAAATTATAATCCGAAAGCGTGAAAAAGAAAATTACAAATATGTATATATCAGGCCAAAGCATGAAGTGATCCATTTACGGTCCGTTAAAAATATAAAATATTTTTAATTGAATCTCACTCCTTAATAAAATAAATTATTTATTTTTAATTAAATTATCTCTTTTTATATCTATCTTTATTAAATATTTTATAATAAACATAAGTCAATATCAATAGAGGTACTTTAAAAAAAATAATAATCTCGAAAAATTAAAAATATCTTACATTTGTTAACATCTAATACTTTAAAAAATGTCTTATATTTTTAAACAAAGAGAGTATAAGTTTGTGGTTGATATGATTAATTTGTTTCAATTAAAATCTTCAAACTAAGTAAGAGAATAAACAAGAAAAAATATAAAGAGGTCCCAAAAAATTAATTAATTCAAGTAGATTTTAAATGCTAAATCTCAAAAATTTATAAGTCCATCTTTCAATTTTACAATTACATTGTAATAAATTTACAACTTATTTTTAAATTTTAACATAATTGAATAATAAAAAAAATTTATTTTTCCTGTTAAAATTTAAAATATAAGTTACAAATCCATCACAATAGAATTGTAAAATTAAGAGATGGAGTTGCAAATTCCTAAAATTAAAACTTGGGACATAACTTGAATTAATTGATAAAAAATATTACTCTTTTCATTAAAAAATATAAGGCATTTTTAACTAAATCCTACCTTTTAATAAAATAGTTACCTACTTTTCAATTAACTCTATCTTTTCATATTTTACCCCCATTAAACACTCTACAATAAATATAAAGTCATTCATCAATAAGGGCACTTTTAAACAAAATAATGATTACACTTCAAAAAACTAATATGCTTTATATTTTTTAAAATTCAACTCCTTAAAAATTGTCTTACATTTTTAAATGGAGGAAAATATAGTTTGATTATTTTTAATTTTAATTTAAAAATTATATTTGAAATTATATTTATTTTATTCTTTGTATTTTTTATCATATTGGTATAAATGAGATTGGTAAAAATAATTTATAAATATGACCATAGGACTATATAATAATAAATAGGTTAAATGGCAATTCTTTGTTTTTAGTTTAAACTAAATTTATACCCATACTCACAAGATATTGAATCAGTAAAGGAATTGGGGAGAGGGGGAATGAATCAGTTCTATTATTAAAAAAAAATAAGATAAATGGAGTTGAAATTTTTAATAAGAGAATTTCAATTAAGAACTAGGAATATAATTTAATTACTAGTGGGTTCTAAAAAAATCTGAAACTTCAGTTAATTCAAGGGAATTGAAATGGAATAATTTCAATTTGTTAAAATGAAATTTAATAATATTGCTAAAATATTAAATGTTTTAATACTTAATACTTAAACATTATTATTGTTGTAGATATTTATTCAAATTTATAAATTATTTTTGAAAATATAACCTCTCAACTAGTTTTTTTCATAAATTTATAAATGACTTGTTATTTTTTTATATATTGATCTCCAAGTCTCTCTTAAAAAAACAATGCCTAGATCATTACACCTTTCGTACGGGTCAAAACTTACCCATATTTTTAATAGGGTTAATGAGTAAAATATGCCTGAAAAATGCTCTGAACCCTAAACTCTAAAATATGCAAAATAATCCTGAACTTTTAAATTTGTGGCATTTTAAAACCTCACCGTTATCTTGTACATAACTATCGTTATTTTTCAATTGGCGAGTCCTAGTCAATGGTGAAGTGGCAGTCGTCCCTTCTGATGTGTCTCTTAGTGATTCTCTAATATTAGTGTTACCCTATATTGGTGGTAATGGGAGTTAAGGTCATTTCCTATTTCAATCATCTCTCTGGCTATAATCATCTTAACCATCTTACTAAATAAGCTGGCAACATCGAAAGGACTTGCTGAGGGGCGCTATGGCTAAATCTATGTTGTCATCATGTGGAAGCAATAGGAGGCAGGTAAGACTATTGAGGCAAGGAGAAGTAGAGATGAATTATGAAGGTGAGACAAGAGCATGTTATTGCGGCCTTCTGGCACCTTGGTTAGACTTTATAGACCAACAAAAATCCTAGGAGAAAGTTTTACGGGTGTTGAAACTATAACAAGGTACCCTTTTTTGTCCAGACCTATATTTTTTTTGTGCTTTATGCTTTAATGAGTAAGATCTGAACAACCATTTTAGGGAGGGGATATGGGTATTTCGTATGGCATGATGGTGATTTGGGGCATAGATCAAAGATGATAATTAACGAGCGTTCTGGACCACATAGATAGGATGTATGGTGAAAATAGTATGCCGAGAGGAAGAAAAGAGACAGAAGCTTTCATGGCAAAGCTTGATTCACTATGTGTTGATGTGAAGAAGTTGAAGAGCAAGCATGAGAGGGAAGAACTTGTTGCTGAAAATGAGAGAAGAAAGTTCAAAATTGCTGTGACATTGTTGATCTTATCATGGTTGTTATTTGTCTATTATAAATTGTGTAATAATATTTTGACTGATCAAATACTAATGTTAAGCATGTTTATGTGATTAGTTTGCTACACATAAAATTCTCAGAAATGAAGAGGCTTTAATTAGCAGTATTAGAGTTCTTTAAGCATTCTACTAATGGGAGTGGAAAAAGTAAAGAATGATTTTCAATTAATAATTTAGATTATTGCTAAAGCAACAAAGTCCATGGCCAATTTGATACAAGTAAACAAAGAGAAAAAGAAAGCTTGTTCTGGCCACTCACTTCCCATCCCAAAGAGATCTCACTAAAGCTAAGAACAACAAGAAGCAAAGAACAAGAAGAAAATAATGAGCATCTCTTCTTTTAGCTTGTAAAACATGTGTCTGCTATACATAAACCAAAATATTGACAGAAATAATTTTGCTCAAAATACAATTGAAGATATTGACAAAAATGGCTTGCCAAAAGTGTATCATCACCCAAAATAATTACATCATATATTACTCTAAATGCAACATATAGTCAAATATATATCATCATGCTTTCCATATAAAACACATTTCCACATGCATATAAAACCCCCCCCTACACACACATATTGTAAGTCATGAAATTCATAAACTTATTTCTTTCAAACTCAATTTTATGCACTAAACATCCATTTAGCAAACATGCTCAATTTAAAACCATTTTCATGCAATACTAATCATACTCTTAAACAGTTATAATAGATAATCAGATAGTGAAGTTATTCGATTACCTCAACCCTTTTATCACAAAGAAAGGTTACTTGCGGATTCCATCAACTACTTATGTGTCACTATAAGCTTCTTTCCTACTTTATACATGGATTATAATAATCTATACACAATTAGCACTATAAGTCAATTAGATCAATTGACCAAAAACACTTAGTTGTTACTATAAACCACCTTTAAAATTCATTCACTTCTACTTATCCAATTTAGATCCATAACCACTCAATTGCCACTTTCTCACTTCTAACGATCTCATTTCACTTCTATACAATTTCTACCCCATTTCTCTCTTGATTTAGGGCTAAATTGGGCTTATAGATTCAAAGCTCTATCATTCAACTCCAAACTAATCACAAAGAGCTAATTTAACTCTTGAGAAATAGGGTAAAAAACTAACCCCTAAAATCTCCTCAATTGAATCTCTCTATAATTCATACTAAGAGAAATTATAGTAGAATTAGAGGTAAAAGTTGTACGATACTTACCTAATAGGTTACCGGTCAGAAATTCCTTCTAATGCTCTAAACTTTCTTACCCTATTAGACCTCTGCTTCTTCTCTTCTCCCTTCACATTTTTCTTTCTTTTCCCTTTCTAAACCAAGAGTTGATTCATCGACTTATTAATTAACTTTTTGTGCCATGCACTGCGACATAGGAACGATTAGCCACGGCGCATGACATAGTGAGGAAAATCCTCACCACGCTTACATGCTTTGTCCTAAAACGTGATTCTTTCACCTATATTTGTTCATTTAACATCCTAATGAGCCATAATGCTAAACTTTCATCCCATATTATAATCTTTTACTAATACTAATTCACTATAATCAATAGCTAATTACTGGATTAGAAAATCAGGATGTTACATTGATCGAGTCTCATTAAGATAGTGTATTATTATGGAGTCAAAAATTTACCATGGTAACCTTTTTTGTGACAAAAGGGTTAGGATAACCAAATAATCTTGTCCTTTTATTTGTGTATTTGAATGTATATGAGGTTTACGGAAGTGTATATGTATGTGTATATGTTTTATTATGAAAATTTAGATTTATAATCAAAAGGTTGATACTTTAGAAATTTATGTGATGTGGTACTGAACTACAGAATTACATATGCTTATAAATCATTTTTACGTTGATTGTGAAAGATTGTGAATGTGGATACAATATGAAATATTAGTATTTGATATATGAATTATGATGAATGATATGCATGTGATTGAAATGTTATGAATATGATCGTTGTGAAAGGGTGGGAGTTTCACCTTAGAGTTGTCAAGGGATATTTGTATGAAATTTATATGGTAACTGGCACTATGGAGGCCCCAGTACACAATCCTATTCTTCTTTGAAAGTTCCAGTACTATTTGAAATAGATTGTGAAGGCACCTTTGGCCGAGGCTACCTTCCATGATTGGTGAACTTGGGCTAGTCCAGTCATATGGACTTGGTCTTATTGTATGTTAGCCCACATATTCAGTTGGAGGAAATAAGGAGGATATAATGTGGAGATTGTTGATCATGCATTGTATGGGATGTTATATGATATCATGTGTTTGGAATGTATCTGATAAATGTTTTATTTTGCCACTTCACATTCTCATATAATGTTCTTGTATGCTTTTGAATAGATTAGACTATTTGGTTACTAAGTCCTTGATTCACCCCCATGGTTATATTTTACAGGTGAAGACTTTGATAAGGATAAAGGGAAGGAAGATTTTGTTGGGATTTGAAGAGCTTAAGTTTGTATAGCTCTTCCCCTCCCTTT